GGTTATTCCCTATTTTCTCTCCCCCTTTTTTTATATCCTGGGGAGGGCCTTTTTCCTTGGACATGTCCTTCCTTTTTCGAGCTCCTATTCTCTCATCTCGTTCGGTTTCTGATATATTATCCTGTACCTCTTTAAGCATTTTTTGACTCTCTGCTACCATGGGACGGCAAGCCTCAATCTCTATATAATTTTTAATTAGGTCTCTCTGTTTTGAAGAGCCCATAATGCTGGAGGCTACCTGGGGTAAGCTTGGTCTCGAACTGGAACACCAGCCATGGTGGGCATAATATAAGACCAATGTGAACAAAATTAGAATAAAGACTAGAATTAAGGCTTTTCCATCCCATAGTGGTGGCAAATTAAAAGCAAAGTCAAAAGGGAAGGTGTCAGAATGAAGCATACCTCTCCGAACTTACCACCCTGCAGTTCTGAATCCGCCCTGTTAGAGGGGTCTCCGTGATGCCGGAGATGTTAACAATTCCCGGGTTTCAGCACCATATGTCCCGCGCGCTCTCTGTATTCCTCGCCAGCAAGAAACACACGCAGGACACTCGGATCCTTCTGCAGACAAGCTTTAATGCATTTTACCAGAGTGGAGACATTTGAACCAAGAAAACCATCCCTTATAAAAGGCTGACCAGCCGCCTGGGACGTATTACCCTATGAATGGCTTTAGCTCCTCAGGCTAAAATGAGCCACGGGATAGGCAGAGATCAAAGGAATGGAGATAACCCGGCGCCTGTGAAGTAATTCACACCTTGGTGTCTTCAGGCAGCATTATAATGCAGGAACCGGCTTCCTACATCAAATTGAATCCCCAAAGGAGAGAAAGAGATAAGAAAAAAATATTTGGAAAAAAATAGTGACCAAGAACTTTCCTAAATTAGTATCGGATACCAATATATGGGGCGGGGGAGGTCAGAAAACACCAAATCTGTGTAACGCCCACATATATTGCACAGAAACTAATGAGTATATCATTCAAACTACAGATAAACCATGAAATTCCTAAAGAAGAGGGAAAGAACTTACTTCCCTTTTAAAGTGCCATTGGAAAGAATTACACCTAGCTTCTCAGAAACCTTGTAATCATAATAAAAGCAAGATGAAAATTTTTAAACAGTGTTGTGGGGAGGAACCAAATCATGCTTCAAAAGTGAAGGGAATCCCATACTTAATGCAACAGAGAACAAGGGGAATTAGGTCTTGTTATGATTAACTATGTAGAAAACCCAAATTAACCATCCAAACCAGTTCCTGAGCTAACAGGCAGTATGACATGATGGCAGAAGAAAGTTACTCTAGAGAACTCAATCATTTCCTATGTGCCAACAATGAAAAGCTATCAGCGAAGATCTTTGAAATTAAAAGTTTCTTTCCCAACTGGGTGTTGGTGGAGCACCCCTTTAATCCCAGCACTCAGGAGGCAGAGGCAAGATCTCTGTGGGTTTGAGACCAGCCTGGTCTGCAGAGCTAGTTCCAGGACAACCACAGCTGTTACACAGAGAAACTCTGTCTCACAAAACTAAAAAATAAAAAGAAAAAAAAAAAGTTTCTTTCCTGAAAAAGACAACATTGTGAGAATAAAATGAAAAGTCACACATAGAGAGAAGATAGTTGCAAAGGATGATTCTGATGAAGGAGTATTATTCAAACATATAAAGAACTTCAAAAATTCAATAATTAAAAAAAATTAAAAACTGGGCAACAGCTATACCATGGAGCTTTAACCACATGGCTGCCTAAATAAGACACGAACAAGATTGACACCAATAGACATGCTAACATAGAATAAGGAAATCTCTTGGGTCCCCCACCCTAGACAAAAAATTACAAGCAACTGACAAATGTTGAGAACGGGAGAAATGATCTATAAGGATGGCTAAAATTCCTAAGACCAAAACCACAAGCCAATAACAATGATGTGGACCACAGCAATGCTCATTCAACACCGATGCAGAAGTAAAATAGGACAGTAACTTTACTGTCTTCTAAGCTAAATATCCTCTTCCCACATCTCCAGCCCACCATAGAACTCGCATTGGTATCTACCCCCCTAAAAAAAGGTGAAAATGTATGACTATACAAATCTACATTCAGAAGTTTGTAGCATTTTGGAAGAAATCAAGATATCTTTCCATGGGTGACTGGATATTAAGCAATTGAAATCCTTGTGAATGAGTGCAAAAAAAATAAATTTGAAAATATTAAATACTACAGAATTCCAACAAAGTTATGTTCTATAAAAGTCAAAGCTGCCTAGATAATAAAAAGATGTATGGTTGACAGAGGTTGTAGTGTGAGAGGGGTAAAGTAGGGAATGACACATTTTACAGCAGGAAAAGATCTATGCTACTAAAGGGTAGAAACATGTCATCACACATTTGTTGAAACCCACTAAATATCCAGCATTAAGAAGAAACTCTAGATTGAACTCTGGCTCTTGAATGATAATAATGTGTATGGAAGTTTCATTGGCAGCAAATGTACATATTATTGGGAAATGTTGGCAATAAAGCTCCTTGTACACATGTGGGAAGAGGAGGAGATATTTGGAATCTCCCCATTTTCCTCATGATTTTGCTGCTAACCAAACTTGAAGTTATAAGTTCTATTTAATAATAATAATAATGGTAAATGCCTTCAGCAAAGGTTAGTGGAAGCAGTTTTTTAAAAGGATTTCTTTGATATTCAGTTAGCATCAAATAATACAACAGTCCTTTCTAATTCTTTAGTGAGGCTCCTGGGCTACCGGCAGCACAATGATGTCGTCAGTAGTTGACTGTTACCCAGAGACTTCAGCACACATTTCCAGATTTCTCCCACCTTCTTCTGTCCATATCACTACTTGGAATTTTTTATTTGCTGGTAGCCCATCCTTGTGTAACGTAAGTAGGGAGTCTGGATTGCATATTTGATTTTGCGTGGTATGTCTCTCGTCATTTTTTTTTTAATATCCATTGTGTTCTAGATATAGCCTACACGCTTCTAGTGTTAAGTCCACTGCACATTTGACTCAGACATTTCAACTTTGCTCACATATTTACATTCCTGGAAGAGCATCTTTAAGTTTAGTCCTCTTATAGGTTGCCCTACTCGGACACCCCTTGGGGGACAAGCTGAGAAGATGCAGCACCAAGACTCAGGCACTGGGAGTCAGTGTGTAGCAGAACATGCTGCAGACTCATTTATTAAGGAAGTTAGACCCTCCTTTAATGGCTCAGGTGGCTGACTCTGCTGCATTGTCCTTTCCTCATTGGTGCCTCCTGTCAGGTGTGTCTTGCTCAACAGTCTCTGGACACAGAGGCAGGCTTGGCTTGAGGAAGAAGTGCCTACCACACATGCTCATGCAGGCTGGCTTGGGCACCTGGGAAGGACAACTGAATTTTGGGTAGTCTGGCCTGTAGTTTCTCCTACAGAGTCCCAGTTATATTCTCATGATTCACAATTAAAAATACTACCTTTGTTTCCTTGGCCAGAATTCTGTATGACATAATATTCCTGTCATTGACAGAGGACCGGGTTTCTATATATGCTTGAGTTCCTATAAGAAAGTATTGTTAAATCCATCATTATCAGAACAATAAGACATTTTGTTATTTGTGACACTGTGCTGATGTGTTAGAAAAACAGATGTGACAGTACAGGTTCCTATCCTACAGGCAGTTAGTTACCTTATAATAATAATAAAAAAAAACAGAGGCACACATTTCAAAATAAGAGTCTACATTAACTGAGAGGAATGTAATTTGTTATAGTTATAGTTCAAGGACTTCTGGTAGGGTCCACCGGGAATGATGGATGATAATGCAGTATCCTTCCATTTCAAAGAACTTGTTCAATGTCTCCATTGGTGCTTTTATGAGAACAGTGATTCAGTCCTCATAATAAGTCAATGGCACAATGACTCAGAGACTTCAAATGTCATAGCAGTGGAGCTTGACTTTGCTCCAAAAACTGGATAATGCTCCACTGCCGATCATTACCCACACACCCCCGTTTTCTTCCTCATCTTTCTCGTACTTCCAGAGTTTATTTCCCTTCATGGTTCTCAGATTTAAAATATGTGACAAATGGTATATTACATATACTTATTGAAAGAGAACAACAAGCTTAATTAAGCATTATGAGGAGTGGATGAAAATGAGTGTTTTTAGCACATGAGTACTATTTCTGAAATTATTAAAGCCTTTGTGTACCAGTTTATATTTGGCTATATCATTTTGGGTCATATGTTACATGGTTCTGCTGTGACAGAGCTGGTTAGATAACTTTATTGTCTTTATTGTAGAGACATGATCCTTAGGGAAAGGATCATATCTGTGTGTGTAAAGGACAAGAGGAATTGTCAAGAAGACTGATGGAGCAAGTTTTGTTATTTTCTAATCAATACCAGTAACTGGTAAGGCAAGACTACATGGGCAGACACATGGTGGCTTTTTTGGCTGTTGTTTGTTTTGGTTTTTAGGATTATAATAGATAGTAAAGTATTATGTAAGACCAGAAAATAGTCAAATTGGATTATAGAGAGGGTAAGCCACGGTTGCACTAGCCAAAAAGAAATGAATGAGAATATTTGATGTTCTGACATGAAGAAGACAGCAAATGCAAAAATAAACTAATAATAAAATTGAAAATGTAACAAAAATAACTGTGTAGTGGTCTTAAAATTGACTAAAGGCAGACAATAAACTGGGAATCATTTATTTTTACAGAATGGAGTATTTTCGAGGAAGAACAAAAGAAAAACTCAAGGCAACCATTACAGATGTAAGCAAAGAGCTAAAGAAAACTGTGTTCAAAAGAGTAAAAGGTAGGTTAATATGCCAACATGACTCCATTCTTAGGGACTGTGAGTTGAGAAAACCACACAAAAGAAAATGTGAACTGATAATTCAGTCTTAAAATATAATAGCAGAATTGACAGATTCACAATATCACAATATCCAATGACACACTTGAAATAGTGGATTTAAAAAAAACAGTATCAATAGAAATGATCCAATTCTTAAAAAGAATAAAAAACTTTGAAGAAAAATTATCTGTGCCAAGTATGTTTACTATTCAACTAGCATATAAACATATTGGAAAAATAACCTCAGGGTTATACCATAGAAACTAGGCAAAAAAAAAAAATAGCAAATAAATTCAAAATAAAAGGAATTGTATTTAGAGGTTTGTTTGGAAATGTAAAAGAAAGCACAATAGTAAATGCCTCTGAAACCAAACATGATCATTTGAAAAGCATTGGAAAGTATCGTGGAAACTGAAAGTACAGATTATTAAAATTAGGAATAACAGTGTGCTACCACTATAGACCCAATGATACCAGAAGGAACGAGGGACTATCAAAAGAATATCTCCAACTAGTATGCAACTACTGATGGGGAATGTACTACTGTGTATGTTTATCTTATTGATTATTGAATAAAATACTGTTTGGCCAATGAGACAGCAAGTTAGACGGAACTAGGAGTCAAAGAGGATTCTGGGAAATGTAGTAGAGAAGTGCTGATCCAGGCAGGAAGTGACATAGCAAGGAGACTCATATTTAAGTGAAAGAGAAACAGGAAGGGCCCTCTTTTCCCCTCGGCTCCTGCTCCAGCGGCACAATGTGTGATCTACCAGCTAGGAGGGATGCCAATAAGATGTCCGATAAGATAAGTCTTATAAAATATATAGATGTATGATAATTGAGACTGAGCTAACAGATGAGAATCCTAGTCATTGGCCAAGCAGCATTGTAACTAATACAAGTCTCTCTGTGTATTCATTTGGGCCTAACTCGGGCAGGCGGCTGTTGTAAAGCTCACATGTGGCAGTGGGGCTCAGGCGGCTTTTGGCAGAAATATTTATCGTAACAACTACCACTAAACTGTAGATTAAGTAGGCATTTTTGTGAAAGTAAAAATTTAAAAATTTTCTCAAAGAAAATAGAATAAAAGCTGATATTTGTGTACAATCTTTCCATACAGAATAAATTGCAGGTTCTGAAGAATCCACTGTAGAGGAAGAAGCAATATTTTTATAACAGGACTTTTCAGGAAAGTATTTCAAGTGACTAGTTTCTATTTCATTTTATAAAGCAAAAATAAATGAGAGAAGAAAGTCTAAACACATTCATAGAAACTGACATCAAAAATCCTTTTTAAAATATTATCAAATGGAATCCAGAAACATATAAGAAGGATTATGCACCATAAACAAGTAAAATTCATCCCAGAAATTAAAGGATTTTGTTTTATTGGGAGTTTTGCTTGTTTGCTTTGAGTCCCCCCCCCCCCCCCCGAGAAAAAGGGACAACACAAAGTTTGGTGGATAGGAATTTGGGGACAATTGCAATTGCGAGGAGTTGGATAAAGGGAAAGAATATGATCAATTATATTGTATAAAGACTTTTTAAATAAAAAATAAATCTAGGCTGGGCATAGTGGTTCATGTCTTTAATCCCAGCCCTTGGGAGGCAGAGGTAGGCAGATAACTGCCAGACTGGTCTACATAATGAGTTCCAAGACAGCCAGAGATACACAATGAGACCCTGTCTCAAAAGATCAAAAATAAACAAATTAATTAATAAACAATATTAATAAAGGACATGGTTGGCCTACCCAATCAATGTTAAAAGTATTTGGCAAGGCACAACAGTTATCAAACTTTATAACTATTCTCAGCCAGTGAAGATGATCAGGGAATGTCCTTAATTTGCTCCTTAGGGGATCTGCAGGTAGCTCTAAGGCCAGCATTATTCTTGATGAAAAAATATTTAAAATTTTTCTGTAAGACTGAAGACAAAACAAGAATATCTGCTCTTACTATTTTTATTCAGTCTTATACATAGAATTCTAGTCAGTGAATTAACAGGAGAAAAAAACAAATCAAATTGTCTTTATGGTCAAATGACATGGTCTTTGTAAAATCAAAAATTCTCAAGTATCTATAAAATAAAAACTAGAATCAGTAAGTGTACATAGCAAGGCTAAAGAACAGATTAACGCAGACAAATAATTATATATATACATATATATATGTATATATATGTGTGTATATTATACATCAATAATAAATAACCAAAAATCTGCATAAGAAAACAATTTCATTCACAATAGCATCAAAACTAAAATACTTAGAAAAAATTAAAAACATTTTTATTTATTCTTTCAAATGTTCATGCCTGTATTTACTGTACTTTGATTATACCCATCCCCTATTATCTCTCTCGAGCTCTCACTGAGAGGCACCAATTCATCTTTCTCCCAACTTGATGTCCTTTATGGCCATCATCATCATCATCATCATCATCATCATTGTCACTAATAGTCCTTGAGTCCAATTAAGTCAATTCGAGTAGAGCCATCCACTGAAGCATGAGCAATCTATCAGTAGCTATATTCCCCCACCCCCAAAAGTTACTCTCCCTCAGAGGCCATCAACTCCCAATAGCTTCTCCTTTAGGATGGGGTCCACAGAGCCCCTCCTCCATCCATGCTGGAATTTTGACTGGCTTGGTTGTGTGCAGACAACCACAGCTTCTGTGGGGTGAAGTGTGCATCAGCTATATTATGTAAAGATTAGGAACAAACACGAAGTATCACAAGGCCTGTGCAATGAAACTACAAAATATTGTTGGGAATTTTTTTCTTTTTATTTAGAAACAATCATTTTGCATATCAACGCCATGCCCCCCCATTCTCTCTCCCTCCCATCCTCCCATGCCCCCACCCAATTCCCAAGGACTGTGAGGCCTTCCATGGAGTATCATCAAAGTCTGACACATCATTCAGGGGAGGGCCTATGCCCTCCTCCATGAATCTGGGCTGAAATAGTATCCCTCCATAGGGAATTAGCTCCTGAAGTCCATTTGTTCACTGGGGATAAATACTGGTTCCACGGTTAGAGGTCCCATAGACTGCCCAGGCCTCTTAACTGGCACCCATATTCAGTCCAATGCTAGTTCCATGGCTTTACAAGTGGGATCCTTATACTCTCACTAAGTCAGGTCAGCTGGTTCTGTAGGTTTCTTCAGCATGGTCTTGACTCCTTTGCTCATCCCTTCTCCCTCTCTACAAATGGAATTCAGAAGTATGGTTCAGTGCTTAGCTGTTGGTGCCTGCTTCTGCTTCCATCAACTATTCGATGAAGGCTATAGGATGGCAATTAAGGTAATCATCAATCTCATTATAGGGCAAGGGCATCAATGGTGGCCTCTCTACTGCCTAGATTCTTAGTTGGGGTCATCTTTGTGTGTCTCTGAACATTTCCCTAGTGCCAGATTTCTCTCTAAACCTATACTGGCTCCCTCTATTAAGGTATCTCTTTTGTTGTTCTCCTCTATTTCTCCCCTGTTTCAGTCTTCCTGATCCCTCTTGTTCTCTCCCCCTCCTCTTCTCCCCTTCTCTTTTTCCTACCTCCCTCCTCTCTCCTCTCTCTGGTGGTATGGATTATAGGCTGGTAGTCCTTTGTTCTGTGTCTAATATCCATATCTGAGTGAGTACATACCATGCTTGTCTTTCTGTGTCTGGGTTACCTCACTCAGGATGGTTTCTTCCAGGTCCATCCATTTGCCTGCAAATTTTAAGATTTAATTTTTTTCCACTGAGTAATACTCCATTGTGTAAATGTACCACATTTTCTCCATCCATTCTTCAGTTGAGGGAGATCTGGGTTGCTTCCACATTCTAGTTATTACAAACAACCCTGCTATGAACATAGTTGAACATATGTCCTTGTTGTATAAATGTGCATCCTTTGGGTATATGCCCAAGAGTGGAATTGCTGGATCATGAGGTAGACTGATTCTCATTTTCCTGAAAAACAGCCAGAACTATATACTATAGCTCTGTAGTAGATCTTGAAGTCAGGGATGGTGATGCCCCCAGAAGTTCCTTTATTGTACAGAGTTGTTTGGGCTATTCTGGGTCTTTTGTTTTTCCATATAAAGTTGAGTATTGTTCTTTCAAGGTCTGTGAAGAATTGTGCCAGTATTTTGATGCAGATTGCACTGAATCTGTAGACTGCTTTTGGTAAGATCACCATTTTTACTATGTTGATCCTACCTATCCAAGAGCATGGGAGATCTTTCCATTTTCTGGTATCTTCTTTAATTTCTTTCTTTAAAGACTCAAAGTTTTTGTTATACAGGTCTTTCCCTTGTTTGCTTAGCATTACCCCCAAGATATTTTATGTTGTTTGTGGCAATTGTAAAGGGTGCTGTTTCTCTGATTTCTTTCTCAGCCCTCTTACTGTCTGTATGTAGCAGAGAACAATAATGATTAACATTGAATTTGTGCCATTAACCCTTCTCCAAGAAGCCACTGTGTGTCTGAAACACATAGGCTACATCACTGAGAAACCAACACTCTGTGTTCCAGCACCATCAATGTTCATAGCTGAATTGGGAAGTGCCCTTTGTGATGAAGTTTGTCAAGGATGGTATTATACCAATATTTAGACATTGTTCTCTTTAAAGCACCTGTTCCCTTTAGAAGAAGAAGATAGTTTTGGAAACAGGCTCATTTTTTTTTCAGCAGTAACTTCATTCGTTCCTCTATTTCTCAAAATGCATACCATTGTTCCATCCTTTTTTTTTTGCAATTTTTTTGCTTGTGTATTATTTCACGTTTCCTTTCTAAATGTGTTGTCTCTAGATTTTCTTTTCTAATAACCACTCTTGATTTTGAAATAAATATCATCAGCTGAGCAGGGATTCAGGTCATCTTGAGAATTATTTTCCTCCAAACATTTACATGAAACATTTTCACTTAAACTCTGAGTTGAATCTCCAATTCATCCATGTTTTTGCAAGCTGGAAAATTAATCATCATATCAGAATCAACCATGGAGTGATTCATAGCAGTTTTAGTTTGAAGTGAAGAAATTAGGTGAAACCAAGGTCACACCCTTAAGCACATGTTAACACTGCCAAAATCAGTAGCCATTACCCAGTTTCTTTAAAGTATGGTACAGCCCTTAATGCAACCCTGCAAGTGATATCTATGGGAATGAGAACAATTCAGTATTCTACATTCATCATTGTTCAGAGTAATCTATCTGCCTGTCAGTGTGAAAGTTTTAGAAGATAAAAAACTGGGGGAAAAAAACCCTTAACCTTGGGAATGCTGTCATTCAACTAAAATAGTACATGACAAGAGGAAATTTCCTCTTCAATGATGGCAAAACTGCAATGTGGTTTCAATATATACTAGAAAATACTGAAGATGATGGGATATATTTTCTCATTCCTATTGCCACACTGCAATTTCCAGACTTCAACATTTCATTTTTCACATGATCCCTTAAGAGCATATGTAAAGGCAAGCAGAGGAATATCATGAATCCGGCAAGATGATGTCCATAGAAGTGGCTGTATATCTTTACATTCTCAGGTTCTAGAATCTGAAGAGTTAATAGAATTGACTGAGCTGAAAGAACTTACACTGGTGTACACACACACACACACAGAGAGAGAGAGAGAGAGAGAGAGAGAGAGAGAGAGAGAGAGAAAGCTAGTGATGGAACACACACATTGTACAGTTTAGACATGCTATGTCCCCACCAAAGTCTTGTGTAATTGAATTCTTAATCCCTACCTGATGACTCCATTTTGGAAGGTGGTGAAACTTTAAAAGGTGGAGCTTAGGTAGATAAAGTACAACATTAGGGTATGTTCTTGGGCACTGGGTCTTATAATGCACTCTTCTTGTCCAAAATGAGGTGAGCAGCTTTTGCCACATATTCCCAATACTATGATATTCTATTTCATCATGGGTCCAAAGGAAACAGGCTAAAGACTATGAAAAAATCTTGAAAACCAAGTCAAAACAAACCTCTCTTAAGCAGTTTATGACAGATGTTTTTGTCACAGTGACCAAAAGGCTCACACAACACTTACTTTTATTTTGTGTTGACTTCACTAAAGCAATAAATAAAGATAATTTTGAAGATGTATATTCATAAAAACGTGAAGAATGGGGAAAAAGAAAACATAATACAATTTTGGGAAGTAAAAAGAAAATAGTAGAGCTGCCATTAAAATGAAGCCTAAGCTGGCTACATGGAAAACCAAGAACAATCCTGAGATCTACTAGAGTTTCAGGAATCAATGGTAACATCCCGTGGAAGTAGAGAACAGCGGTGTGTCTATTGAGAAGACAGAGACACAGGTCCCTTGGAGAGTATTAACCTAGCAATCACAAGCCTCTGGATATATTCCCCAACATGATAGGAGCGTCTGCTGGAGTAGTAAATAGTTATATTTTCATATCCCTCACCCCCAGGGATGTAAATATTTAAAAAGCAAACAATTAAATTTTATTTTTACCATAGGATCATTAGACTTCCAAATAAAGGAAAGTCGTGACAGCTACACTTGTGGAGCAGTTACTATTCACTGGGTTACTATTTTCTAAGCATTTATTTATTTTGACTCATTTACATTTTACCCTAGTTTTATGAGGTAGCTGTGCAATTATTGCAGAGGTTACTGATGCAAAGTGGCACAATCTAGGGAAGTGAGTGAGAGCTATTGTCTGTATGCTGCATGCTAAAATATAGGTACCCTCTCTACCCAATGCCCCTTCTTTTCTAGCTTCCCTTCTGTGAAGAGATGCAGACTCCTCTCCAATGATCCCAACATCACAGCTGTAGCAGGAAAAAAGAAAGTTAGTGACATCAGAGTTTTCCAATCACGTAGCCCTGACAATCACCTTTAGTAAAAACCACATTGTCCCACTATGAAAGAGCTGCCAACTAGATCCTTGTGGCCCACATGAAGACTGGCAAGCATTAGCAAAATATTGAGGAAAAGAACAAAGAAGCACATACATTTTTTTTTTAATTTTAAAAAGTAAATAGAATAAAGATCTAGAAGCAGCAAAGGAGACAAAGCAAATCCCAGGGCCCAAGTATTACCTAATCACAATCAGCAGAAGACGACATTTTTAATTTTTATTACATCTGTGTGTTTGTGTGTGCATTTCATGCATGCACACAAGTGTCACAATATGTGTATGGAGCTCAGAGGACAACTTTGGATACTGGTTCTTCCTTTCCACCTTGTGAGTCATGGGACCTGAATCCCAGTGCCTTTATCCACTGAGCCATCTTGTTTCTAGTTCTGTTAGTCAATATTTTAACTGACTTAATCTTTGAAAATCTCATAAAGTATGTCGTATTTTTTATAATATTCACCACCCACTTTATCTTATCTCAGCCCCTCTGTACTCCTTCCAGAAGATGTTTTAGTCTTGAAAGGAGATATTTAGAAAGTAGAGGCCTTTTAAAAAATTATATATATACTGTGTATAATAGGGTAACAACTAAATATAACTATTTTAACAAGATTATAATATTTACTATTATATAATAAAAATATGTAGGTAATAGCTGAAATGCAATAGAGTACTTAGAACATAAATGCTGAGTAAATCTAAGATTAATGCCAAAAGGCAGATATATAAAATACAAAAGAAAGCTGAGTGCTGACTTGGAAAATGAAATATCTGAACAATACACAGACCCAGAAGAAAAAAACTGTCTATAATTCAGACCATCTCTAGATGTGTTACATAAACTTTTCCCATTAAGAGATCTCAGTGATGGACTTCATG